ATCCCGTGCTTCGTGCCGCGTTTCTCTGCAACAGAAAGAGTAAGTGATTCGAAAGTCAATTGTCCACACCAATTTATCGTTTCTCTACCCTATTTACTCATTCACATTCCAATCAGGGATTATTGAAAAACTTATTGACTNTGGCTGTTCAATAATCGTCATAGGTATCACCCACTTTTACAAGATAGTACGCTTTATTCATCAAGTACTCTCAGACGGAAGGGATTTTGTCAAAAGTCAGAAAAGGTTTGATGAAGTAAAACCAAAGTAAGCATCATAGTATTCTATTGGAATAGTTTTAAACAAGGTTTGTTTGAATGTTTTCCGCGGTGCTGTGTACGCATTGGTCTATCAGTTCCCATTGTTAGCCCAATCTCTTGACGGAGAAGTTCATGTCAGATACAGAATGATACCCTTCCAATCCGTTTTGTCCGTGTGCCAACTTGACCTAGTTTTAGGTCATCGTTTAATCGATTGATGTACTCTCACGATCATTCATTAAATCGTTAACCCGATTCCAATCAGCACACTCTCTTGTGTGTTCTAATACCCTGTGTTGGGTTACGGGCCCTAAATTACTGTGCATAGAGTCGCGGTTGGACTTCGGTCATAACAGGCAGGAACTTAAATGTGCCGAGACCGTTATGCAGCACTCCCCCAAAATTGTCACAAGATACCAGTAGAAAATATTTAATCTCAACCGAGGACTGATCGTTTGATGAACCGACTTTGCGATTTCGGGAAGGGAATATGCTATAAATCGAGAGCTCAATCACCCAAAAAGTAGAACTGGGTGACGGCTTCTCCAATTTTCTTGGAGAATAAACTTGGATAAATTCTTAAATCACTTGTTCTAACACCTTTAAATCCATCTCTGTTTTGTTGTGCTTTAGACAAAATAAATAGAATTTAGAGTATCAAGCTTGGATTAGCCCATTCGATTGTTCAGAGGTACCAGGCACTCTTGATGGTTCTCGGTGTGGGTTTCACTCCTTGGGAGATCGTTAATTCCCCACTGTTTGGACTAATCCAAGCTTGATACTCTAAATTGATTGAGCCAGTCGCACAAGTTGATAACCGTCGGCCGTGTAGCTCAGGGGTAAGGGTTTGAAGTCCCGACCCGATTGATCACGGTTCGAGTCCTGACAGGGACACAAAAAGTACGCACTGCAGACGAGTACCAAACAGGACGAAACAGCTGTCCAGTGCTCTTTGTTGGTTATCACAAATATTTCCATCGCATTGTAATGCATACAAACAGTGGGCAATTAACGATCTCCCAAGGAGTGAGTGAAACCCACACCGCAAATGCAAAATAAATAGAACTATATAATTTCATTATTATTTGGGCAATATACAATCATTGCAGAAGATAGCTGAACAAAGAACGAGTTAGCCACAATTAGTGTTGATGAACAATACTGACCGTTTCATGTGTTTATCATGAGTGACTAACTCAGTTACAAGATATGTCCAGGACAAAGCTGAATTGTAAATCTATATCCCTTAAATTCAACCAGAATATGCACTTTGTTTGCGTTGATTACACATTGATTTCTAGCAGAACATGCATTTCTCATATGCGAAAATTGCATAGATAAATGAAAAACCATCCCGGCAGTGAGAAAAACGTGAAACAACAAAACACCAATAATAGCTGTCGTGGGAATGGTGAACGCCTGAATAGGGTGTTAGGCCCAAAAACAATGTTGCTTGCAGACGACGCCAAAATCTGGAACACGGTAACACAACCCGAGGGCTCTCTGACACCTCAGGAATCACTCAACGCAGCTTATCAATGGTCTAAGGAGAACGAAACTGAATTTAATGTTTCTAAATGCAAAGCCCTATGCCTACGCCACAAGAGAAGATTCTCGTATTTCCCCGGGGAACAGCAGATACCACACACTTCAAGTGAAAAGGACTTAGCTATTGTTGTTCAACAGAATTTAAGCTGCTCCATCAATTGTGCTAAGGCTTTGTTTGCTGCTATGAAGAATGTCGGCTTACTTCGGCGAGTCTTTGGCCGCTTTGAATCATCACTATTCCCACGTTTGCTATCAGCGTACATTCGACCCTACACAGAGTACACCATCCAGGCTTGGATTCCATGGTTGCAACGTGATCGCAAGATGCTTGAGCGCCCACAAAGGATGGCCACCGAGACGGTCAAGGAATTGCATTGCCTCACCTATGAGGAGAGATTACAATCATTTTGCCTATATTCTGCTCAGTACCGCCGAACTCGAGGAGACTTGATTTTGACGTATCACATACTGCAGAACCCAAACCATCCGGTCAATCGCTGCCCATGTTATCGAAAAATGTACATCCAAGGGGACACCGTTTCAAGCTACTGATTCCAAAGTGGCGACTGGAATGCCGGCGCCAGTCTTTTTCAGTCAGAGTATGCAGATATTGGAACACCCTTCCATCTCATATCGTTTGTGCATCCACTATTGAATCTTTCAAACAGAGACTCGATGAGACCTTGGCAAACCTCACGTTCGTACACCACTAAAAGCAGACGCAAATTCACTGTACCCTACATCCTCTATTATCCCCTACCCGGAACTCGATGTGACTCCTTTTTCGGCGTGTAACGATTCATCTGTGTGAATATCCTATGGGGGCAAGAGAAGCACGAGCTTGTAAGTTATTCCCATAATAAAACTCTGAATTTGACTTTATGTTATCCAGAGTGAAATCTTCATCAGTCTTCTTCCATGCACTACTGCGCTGAAACGACCAACGTTGAATTGATTGCAAATTTGAACGGTCAGGCAATTTCAAAATTCCAAATAATTTATTTCTACTTTCGGCTACCGGTGTTTGTTTCCTACTTTCCTACCTCAGCAGTCGTTTTTCCGGCAGCCCCAAACAGAATTTTAAAATCCTACCCTATCCGCAAAGTGCGCATACAGTGAATCTGCACGAAACGAACTTCGTCTCAACTTTCGACCGTGTGATGTATTGTCCTTCCTGTGAACCGAATTTGGTTTTGGTATAATGCGTGATCATCGGTGAATAAGGTCCCTTTTAACTAGAACTTCTTGTGGTGATAAGAAAAGTAATGCGATAATCTGGTTCCCTTTATACGTTTATATGTATATGTGTATACCGTGAATTTTACCGCGAACCAAACGTAGGAAAACGATCTGATAATTTTTTTCTTGTCCAGTGAATAGCACACAGGAACACAAAGATTTATTAGATGTTGAAGATCTTGTTGAATGTACCGGGTCAAACAAAATTTTGACAACTCTGTTCAGGGTGTCTCAGTATCTGTCCCTTTGTTCCACAAAATACAATATACACAATTATCTGAATGGTTTGATTTTTTTCTGTTAATATTGCTAGTTTTACACTCACCAGGTGACATAAAGAATATGGCCAACGCTTCCCGTGGATCGAACCGAATATCACCTAATGAGGTCCACTCGTACGGGCACTGTGGACTTGGGAACAGGATGAGCACAAACAGCTGAGTGCTGTTCTGATTGGTTGATTTGATCAGCTGCGATCGATTTTTAGAACGAGAGCAAGAGATGCAGAGGTGGGTGGGGTGAGTGAAGAAATCAAATACACTGTGGCTGTTGAGAACGGGGTTGCGGTGTGTGTTTTCGAGCAATAACAACAACAACAAGAAAAGTGTCAATAACTATTCCTCAGTTTCATTGAAAATTCATCGCTATAATACACATTCATTGTATGGAAGGTGCAGATTACAGATCAATGTGTGTGAGGAAAATAACATACTAGTTTCAACAAACCTTTTACGATAGCTACATCTCTGTAATTATCTTTCAAAGGTTCAGCTTGATTGATAAATTTATGGAGCCTGTGATGTGGCTTACTATAGGTTATTTTTAATGTGTAAATACAAAGCATCTAGCATGAACTAGGATGCGATATAAGCCCCATAGATATTCAGTTTATCCTCTCCCTGCAACCTTTTATCTCCTCCAAATCACTAGTGACTACGTATGTGGGTATTCGTTTCAGGTTTGCGTCTCCTGGGTATCTATTAAGCTGTGAATGAGAAAAGCTTATTTGTTTGAAGTTAACACCTAGAATATAGACACGAAGCATGGATATTTGCGGTCTAATGAACTGACTACTTAAGTAGAATCAGAAATATCCCAGTTAACAAACTTATGAAGTCCAAGGTACACGCACAGAATTTAATGAAAATTGAAAACAAGTGTGAAATAAATAAAGAAGAGTTCATCGACGAGAACAATCGAAATGAACGTATCTCGGTGCACTGAAGTACTGGGATGCATATTAAGCCTAAATTTTTAGGCGAAAAATTAAACTTGTTATCTTTTTGAAAAATATGTTGCAACACCGTGTGGTGATTTGTTTCGGTCCCAAGGAGACACACCAATTTTATCATTTCAGCTTGGATTACTTTTAACAGTTGTAAAATTTCTAACCTAGGGGAGAATAAAGATGATCATAAATTGAACCTAATTTTATCGTTCCACCAATCAGGAAGGGAATGCTCTAACAGATGTAAACATGCGTAACCACAATAGTGTAGTACAATTTTGGAGTGTTTAGTTTGTGGTGATAAGAATACGGGTATTTTGGGTTGACACACGGATTGAACATGGTAAGGGCAAAGTCTGCGTTTAATTTTACATTCACATTTATGTCGAGATTGTGAACAGTTCAGTAGCCTCAGTGGGATTCGAACCCACGCATGGGCGCCGCCTACGCTTTTGTACAAGGCACGCTTTACCAGCTGAGTTTCAAATCGGCCAAACAACAATTTGAACAATTCACATTTACTTGTGAGTGTTGGTCTGGTATAATACGTGAAATGGTCAGTGAACATTGTTTACATCCTCCAGGTTGCAGCACAATCCTCTGCTTGCTCAACGGGGATCCACTCACCAATAAAGCGCAAAAAAGAGGTTCGCTCTCACTAAAGCATGTCAGTGGTTTATATAAACCCAAACACCTATTCCTGTCTATGGTTGTGCCATCAAAAATGTCCGTCAAATGCTCGTATCTCTTTGTTTGATCAGTGCATCAGTTATCAGATCGCATATTTACACACAATTGGCCATGTCACCACCTTCGTGGTGACTGGAAATCAAAACGCTATTACAGGACTTTGAGAATAAGCATCGGGTAAACCATTCCAATTAACAACGTACCCAGCAGAAATATTGGTCCAACACAGAAGAATAAGTGATCAGCATTGAATACCGCGCAAGTGCAGGAGAAATAGTATCAATTGTGTGAACCGACATGCAGAGGAATTCTGAGTAAACAAATGAGAGTAAATGCCATGGTAATAGCCTTGCAAAGAAGAAGTTCAATTGCAAAATTTTCGTGACATAAGTAAGTCTGATAACCTGAAAAAGAAACAGCTGAAATTGCATATACTATAAATAGGATAGCTGGGTACAGGGTTGAAACGACATCGATGTTGTATGATTCTTTTTATTTACCGCGCAGAATTGTACTACTTTTGAGTAGACCAATTACTACGTAGAAAATTGAAAACGGTTTGCACCCCAAGAAACGTTGACAACTCTGAAGCCGTCTTGCATTTATTAAAGCCGCTATCACTAATGCAGCGATAGCTTGTTCTGTAGGGTTTCACAAATGCAACCTATTGCGGAGTTCGACTCTGGAGATAACAATTCAAGGAGACGGAGGAATCTGGGATCAAAATCTACCAGCTTGAGTCCTGGATGACCGTAGTGACAAGTTGCTGATGAGAAATCTTCGTACAGATAAATGTGAACTGCATTTTTCGATTAAATTCTTTCATGGCAAGAAAAAATACAAAATTCATTTAGGTGATCCATTAATGAGTGTCTCAGATGGCGAGTTCCATAACATCTGACCAGTCAAATTTATGAGGACTTTTGCAAAATGACGCATACCTTGGAGCGACAAGTTACAATTTTCGGAAAACTGTGACCAATCAATCCTCATGGGTGACGTCAGCAAAGCGCGTACGTGTCACAGCTTCTGGACTATATATCATAGGTCGATTGTACCAGCCAATCATGAACCGTGCGGCCCGAACAGAAGCTGAACAACGCCAGAAATACTAGAACGCGATTGACAGAGGTCCGGATGACCAATGAGCTTGTTTTGTACATATTATTTAATCCCCGTGATTTATTTCAATAAACGAACTATACTACTCCTGTGGCTTTTTCTCGCATCTCAGTGACGTGGGATATTGTGTGCAAATTCCAGTATAGTTCAGTGCTTCAGTGCCTCGTCCGTGATTGCTAATCCGTGATCCGTATTCCGTGGTTCGTATTTCGTATTCAGTGCGCACTACTATCGCACTTACTACAATTACCACAATTTTTTAAATTCATGCAATATGAAGCAAATAAACTCGGAGCATTCCTCCATAAATGGTAGTCTGTTACTTTGTACCCTATTGTAAGTCACTTACTGTCAGAGATGAACTCTATCGGGTGCATCTCCAGTTTGCAGATGCGAAAATGATTATCGAATCAGTTAAACTTCAATAGATGGTCATAGTGACACAAAAAAGAACGGTAGGTAGAGATCAGCAAATGTCTAGGAAGGTCATGGAAATATATTTCTTGAAGTAAAAACGATGAATAGTTAGTAAAAGCATTATGAGGTGACAGTCTGCCACTGAACATAACAATCTCCATCACGCCGGCTTCCTGTGATCCTGCAGATTATATGTCACTTCCGAGGGGTCTAATTCTATGAGGCACACAAATTCATCCTTACTTTCCAACTTTTTCACAGATTCATGTATGAAGAAGAGTCATCTGAAGAGAAAAAATGAATAAAATTAAAAATAACTTCTTATTTCCAAAACAATTCACAAAGTTTTGCGTGATCGGGAACAGAATCCGTCAAGTCATTTTCATTTACCTTCACTTTATATTCAGTCCAATCTATTTCAAAATGAAATCTATAACGATGTGTTATAGTCTCCGGATGTTTACAATCTGTAAACACCTGAAAAACGTGTTGAGAAGTCTTAACGAGATGAATCATGAGCCGAATTCTCAGGTGATTTTTTGGCATCTTATCTGGTACAGTTCCGCTATTTTAAGGCTTATGACAGACCACTGGAAATAACCATGGGAGATTTCACTGCAAATCGATCTATTTTTTGAATACAGAAGTTGCACGCACTTTGATTAATCAAAGGTAATCAAAAACCAAACTAGACCACGTGCAATAGGCTTAGTTACATGTGAGTAAAATGGTTTTACTGAAAGGAAAAACAAATATATGGAGAGTTAAAAACACAAAAACCATCAAAATTTATCAATACAGTGTGCATTCAGTGCGTGATGCGTTCTTAAATAAAGTGGGTGTAAGATTCACTACATAGTTCATTACTTGCAAAATGAGCAAAATAAAACTTGGGCATTCATTTGAATGATTGATTGAGCAAAATTGATTTGATTGTGTTCTGACAAAAATAAACACTCTTTAGTTGATCTTTGACGAACGATGCGATTGATATTCTGATCTTTTACTGGAGCTTAAATAAAGCCATGGCCTAGTTCCAGTCCTTTTCCAATAGTTTGAACGTGTTTTCACCCCGTCGCGTCTCAAATTCCCAACTGACCACATGGTCCTTCATACAGTGTTCCTTCTTCGACTAATTTCAATTAAATACTTTCACATGGCATTAATCGTCTCAGATAGAATCGTGTTAGATTAAACTCGACCCTTAGAGCTTTTTTTGGGGCAAACTGAAACGTTTTCGGGTTTCATAGTCTCTGTGTCATGTCCATTTTTGTGTGTGACTTCCCATATTATTCCCCCCCGCCCCCATTATTTCCGTTCCGGACAAGAGTGGGATGGGGCGAGTGAGAATTTCATGGATTTACTTTCTAGTCTTCCAGTGTGATCAATCAACTCTCTGTCTACATTCTCCCCACGACCCCACCCCTGCCTTGCCCGTCTAAAACGATCACTCAAAAAGGTTTGTGACTCACTGGTGACGATCGCTTTACAGCTCTTTGATGACCACCGTTCACATCCGCATTGCTGATGATCTTTCAAAATGTTTTTCTCAGTGAAATCCGGTTTCGGGTTTGAAGGACAATTTTAATACCGGAATTGTCCGGTTCTCTGACTAGCTAGTGCACTTGTCTAAGGGAACCATACGACCAATCATGTTTGTGCTAACCACGTATCGCGAATCTACGTTATTTCTACTCACCGTCCCTACGCAATCGCTTCATTGTTTCCCTCCGAATGCTACCCATTTATGCGCTCATTGAAATCACATTTTTTGATAACACAATCTTAGCCAATCAGGTTTATGTGCCGAAATATGAAACTAAATAGATAGAACAAATAGTCACCTATTTCGTCCGAATTAGTACTACTTGGAGCTGATTTGAATAGACATGGAAACATTCCGGTCTAAATTTTGGCTTAAATTGGAAATAAAATGTTAGCTGTCGATGTGATGAGGAGTACAGTTTGTACTTTTGAAGCAGATAAAATGACGTTGGCGTTTCCAGATGAATCCAGTTTAAAATAATTAATTGATTTGAAAACATAAGTGCACAGTAAAACTTCAAACAAATGTATTTTATTTCTTATTCAATGACGTGGTATTTTTTAAACAATAAGATCCAGTATTTCCGGTTTCCTCCTAAAACTGCAACATCATTTGTTTGTGGCACACTATCAACTCGTTGATTTTTGAACGTACTGATTATCGCTTCCCACACACCGAGCAAAACACTTTTTAATCAGTCCAGGCTGAGCAGCACAACGCTCTGCTCATATTGCGACCGAAATAATCCAGTTGATGTATACTAGGATTTAAGGTCCGATGAGAATCCACATCTCGGCATTATTCACCTGTAAGCAATTTTTTCACTTCACAAATAGTTTTTAGTCAGATTGAGGTCACGTGGTCATCTTAAAGTAAACAATTGTCGATTGAAGATGTAAAACGCGAATTTCATTGTTCCAACTTATACCGATTGTTCCGTACACCTCGGCAGTGGGTTCCATGTGTATCGCATCAACAATCTTCACTCTTTGCTCTTCGAAATTGGAATCGGCCATCATGCTGTCCTGATGTGATTTTCACTTATTCAAAAAATCCACTTCTTTGCATGTCCTATAAATTTATTGAGCTATGCTCAAATCCCATCGGTTGATGTACCACGTTAGTGCACAGCATGTAAAAAGTTTAATTTAATATCTCGCCTATGTATTTAGTCGACGAGGGCACTTTTGATGTGTGTGTGTGTGTGTGTGTACGAAGAGCACATGTATTGCGACTATAATTCCTATTTCAATACGACTTGGCACTGATTGTACCTGAACTGGCTCTGAGAGGTGATCGCTGCTCATGGACACGCTTGACTGATTTAAGTCTCATTCAGTATTATAAAATGGTTAGCAGTTGGCACAGACGAATCATTTAAAAAGGATGGAAAAAGTTCTCTAACCTCTGAGCAAAGATTCTAGCTCGTCTGCAAAGTGGCATGTTGATGCACATGGCTGGACGGTCCTCTTAATTATCACATGATACAGACCAACTGCTTAATTGCCGAAACAAAAAGCTCATTGTTGTTTGNGCCACAGAAAATGCAGAACAACAGTGGCACGCTATTCAATATCTGGTAACAGAAGATGATCACAGATTGTATTTTCTGGGCACGTAAAAGTGTACTGGTCTGTAGAATCATGTATATATATATATATATATGCAGCTGTTTTAAAATACCTTAACCCGGACTGAACAGTAAACACCGACAGTTACATCATCTAGCTCTAAAGCTATATATACATATATATATATATGTATATATATATGTATATATATATATATAG